TGATGTTATTGACCGCCTTGTACCCGACTACGAACAAGAAAGTGAAAAGTTTGATGATATGGAATGCCTCGTACCCGACTACCAACTAGAAGGTGAATATTTTGACGTTATTTACCGCCCCATATCCGCCAACCGAGGCGAAAGTGAACATTTGAAGATATTGACCGCCTCGTACCCGACTACCAACGAGAAAGTGAATAGTTTGATGTTATTTACCGCCTCATCAGATATGTCTGTTTAATCATAGCGTGGTGATTAATGACAGGTTTAACGTGAAAAAAAGCTTCTCGGTCACTGGCATTTGCAAACGTGACAAAGGTGGCTTAAATTAGTCATTATGTCACTGCAACAGATCTGAACAGCCTGAGTTAAAGTCATCCCCATAATTCCGATGAGACTTTAGATAAAAGTAATGGCCAATAATAAGCAGGATACAGGCTCCAAATAACATCAACCAATCGATTATTCCTTTTAAGTCAGAACAGGTGACTCTTTAATATTTCGAACAAAACGGAACTAATAAAGTATCTCTTTATAGTTGTAATATTTGAAGATACATAAAACACATGAAGAATATTTTCTTGAAAGTCCAGATTTCCGATATCACGTTTCCTCTCTATTCTAAATTGCCACGGGCTCAAAATTAGATTAATCCCCGAGCAGTATTTAAATCAATACCATCGTCGAAACTCTATGGAAAAATCCCATTATCCACATTGGAGCAATTGCTTACGCTACAGCGAAGCTCGCTCCTACATGCACTCAAAAACTAAGTCGACAAGTCTTCGTTCTGAAGTTTAATCAGAAAGGTTTGTTCCGAATGAAATTGAGCGTAACTTTACAATCTTGTGAAATAAATCACTCTTGATACTTCAATTTAGCCTTTTTAAATTGCAATAAATTAAATAAGGTCGTAAAAAAGCGAATGTGAAAAATAATATTCCACTACTCCAATCACTGGCTGAAGATAAATCTGAAGGATTTACGGATTCTTGCTACAAAATGGGCTGACCAAGGCATCTGTTGTGAAGCAAATACCAGTTGTCGTCGATGATGAAAACTCTGACAGACAGTACATCGATATTTGAGAATCGATACAACCATTGCTTGTGTTTCTGAAGTGGGAATTGGAAATGTGTCATTTTCGTGAGCTTTAATGTTGATTAACCTCACTACAGCCATCTGAATCCGCCCACCCATCGCCCCCACCCAGCGGCCCACGTGCTGCTACGTCCAAGCCTTCCCCCAACACCCCAAACTATTCTTAAACACATTTACATCGATTGCCAATATATCGCGAAAGAACTGAGTTGGCACTTTTTACAGCCTTGGTACATTTCGATTAAAGCGGATTCGTCAAACTCAAGGGCTGCAACCACAGCTAATTTCACCCAGTGGGCATGCCGGAAACAAGTGTGTTAATAGGACCTGGTTTAGACAAACGGTGGTTAAGGCCTTCTGTTTTATACTTGTGTCTGTCTGCAAATAGATATGTCAGACCTTGGGGCTGTGTGCCATTATACATCTCTTGAAGTGCTCATACATCAATCACTAAAATCATCCCCTGTGTATTACGTCAGATTCTACCCTTATTTCTAAGAGACTGTTGTCCATCCGTCCCAATTTATATTTTGCTGTAGCTGATGTTATGGGCCTGAACGCATGGGACATGTTTGTGTCACCTCAAGATGGCGCTTGCTTTTAAATGTGTTTGTTCTTGGATCATTTTTCCAGGAGCATTAGTCTTTGCCAGGCTGAAATTATTTCTTGGTGTATGCCTCTATGAGGAAATGTGAAGTATATAATATGTAGAAATTACTCCTGTTCCCATTACATAGATTTCAGCAAGGAACATCTAATTGCATGTACTTGGTTACATTCCCATCCTAATATTATGTGCAGACGTGCAAGTAGCTCCCTGTCTAGAGGCTGACTGTCCGATTTAACGTCAGATACATGCTATACCGAGGGGGTCGATCGCCTTAGCTGCTTTCCGACTGTCTCGCTACCACTATAAATCATACTCTTATATTGTATTCAGTGTTGTTAGACTCTGAACGAAAGTAAATGGAATCTAACTGATCCCTCTTGATGTAAAAATGAAGCGTTATTTCCTCACAATTGTCAAGATTCTTCTCAGAATGTATAATTTCTCCGATAAGTCCACACAGCAATACTTTACGAATCATGACTGTGATTATGTTTCTTGGTTTGTAAACATAAGACCCGTTTCAGTACAATTGTACAGCCTGGACTAAGACAAGCTACACTTTCGTCCTACGTTTCCTTGACATTCCTTGAAACAATTGAAACTCTCAAGTATGTGTTAAACCAAACTCACTCACTCATCAAGAATCATCATTACGTTGTCTTCACAATGTCTCTCAGTCGTGTATACACGAAACAGACGGTAGTTACGTAAGTTAATAGATTATGTCAGGAAATAACGTTACAGCTATTCATCTCAAGTTAAACAAAGAACGAGGCGCCATCATGCGGCCAGACCTTTGTTACAGCTGCCTCCTGTTAGTAATGTTTGAGATGTTAAGGGGGCTGTACGTGACTAATAACTCATGTCATCCAGTTAGCTCCCAAAGTGGAGATATCACGCTGAATGTCAAGGATGAAACCACTCGCTGCTATGCACAAATACAGTAATGTAATTCGCGTCAGAACATATTTAATAATTGCACATGACACTAAAAGCCTCATCAAAGGCTATAAATTAATTAGCTTTTCAGTTACATTATCTCATCCAGCCCTCTGAGTACTCTGGATAGCTTTCTTATAATTTCTAAATACGTTGTAAGTGACTGCTGTTTGAAGGATGTGTCCCGTTCCACAGTACACAGTTATGAAAGAAGGACTTAAAATAGCGTCCTCATGTATTCAATTACAAGTCGTTGTGCCTAATCCTTTGTCTCATCGGTATGACAAAGCGGAAAGTTTCCCAAGGCTTCTTATCCTCTTTGACCGATATCAAAGAAGGGCGATCTGACCGTTGTTTCAGCTTCTGACAATTAGGTTTCTTATAAATCATTTGTGAAAGAAGAGTTCGTTTTACGTTTTGAACTGTCACAGAAAAATAATTGTTTTCTAAATGTGTTTTGATTGCTGCATTAGGGACGTGGCTCTTCATTTTTGTATTCCAAACTTTATTGATTCTGTCATTTTTAACCTGGCATGTCATGCACCAGTATGATCAAGGCATCAGTATACCTAATTTCAAGTACATGTTTTTCGTCGTTTTCCTAATCTATCAATTGTAACTGAGATCATAATATCTTTTAATTTTCTTACTGCATCGACGTTGATGTATTTAGCTTGTCATGCTTCAATTAACTTACTTCATCTCGTGTCACACATCGTTATCCTATGTTTTGTCATCTCTTAAATTCGTTTTTCAATGTCAGTGTCATAGAGTGTGCTTTGGAGTTGCAATGTGTGTCATGTTAACTCAAATCATTTCTCAAAATGCGTCGTATTTCGTTTTCACTTTAACTTTTTCAGTGTTTTCTTAATTGCCTTTGCCGTTTAGATTTATGTCCCAGTACATGCTCTGAACTTGTGTTATTATCCAGGTGTGTATATAAAATACGTTAGTAACCAAGCGTTTTGTTAAGTTCAATCATTATTGAAACATGATTTCTATTAAGGCTAAAATACAAACGCAAATATGTTAAATTATGTTTTAAAAACAGAGAGGCGAAGATAGAAATACCAACATTCATATCCCTCATATACGTAGGGGGAATGAAGGTAAACGTACTGTATCCATTTTGTAATGTACATAGTATACGGTAATCAAGCTCTAATAATCATATGAAATATATGGCCCATTACACTGAAAGAACGAAATATTTCATTTGAAGGTAAATATCCTTCACGAAGTAGACAATTCCAAAATGGCGTATATCATCGTCTCGTCGCTTCCTTAAAGCCTTCCGATCTATCCAATCACATTAGAGTTGATCTAACCGACATGATAAACGTATTCAGTTTTACGTTAGCAAATCGCTTAATATGCAATGTATATAGCTGATGATGAACACTATGTAGTCATCACTTCATACCGAATAGATTGCCAAGTGTCGTTCATTTTATGTCATGGTAAGCCATTAGTCTGGATCACAGATACCTCGACGGTAATGTTATTTCGAAGGTCAAAACACAAAGGGATAAATTTAAAATGTCTGGAAACAAAATACAGACGCGGACAATTAATACCATATGTCAAAACATTCATTCTGATATCAAAGGTCGTTAAGCCTGAAACGTTAGCTGGGTTATAAATGGCCTCTTCACGTTTCCATACATCGAGGTGCGGTATTTTTGAAAACAGTTTCCTTCGATTTTATATTCGCCCCATTTCCTTCTATTAATCTATGAAAGAACGCCTCATGAATTTGCAAATACGGCTTGACAAGGCAAAGAAAGAGAAAAAATGCATGTAAGAGTTGCGAGGTTGAATATAGAGCCAACATACCTCTCCAGGCGTACCACTTCCGATTCCTCGATGACACGAACTGGAATCAAAACCTTCAGCAAACATTATGGACCATACGCTGAAGCTTTGTTGATCATCTTCTCCGATTTATAATTCCAAGAATATGATAGAAAATCTTTCGTTGAACCACATGGTCGAGAAGGCGCCAGGCAAGCTCATGAGCATAGAAATGTGTATTGCCACTTATCCTGAGCGGCGTGGAGTACACAAGATTGCCCTGTCTCTCTACAAGTATCATGCTTAGGCTCTGCGCAGTATCACATATGTGACTGTAGCTACTGCCTAGTGTTACGCCCAGCGCCGACTGCACAAACTTTCGTGCACCTCTCGTTTACACGCCCTTCTGTTTGTTGATGGGTTCCTCAATGGATGCGAGATCGATCACTCACGTGGTGGCACATAACAAAGATCGTTAAACCTTCGTCGTGATCACTACAAAAGCCAACTTGATTCCATCGTGGTGCTGCTACTATTCAACAGTACTCTCAACACTATTGCTTTTGAGATTCTTGGATGTTCTTATATTGGACTTTACTAGAAACAAGCGATAGAAGACCAGAGGTGAGTACATGCCTTAAGGTCGGTTGTTTTTAGTGCCTTCTTGAGTAACGTCTCGTGTCTTAAGCACATGTCTGTGTCCAGTCACCGCTGATGCGTAACCTGCTGCATACGATTGTGTGCACATATCTTACCCACTGCTGGAACTTTTACAAACATTACAATGTAAACAGGTTGCATGATTAGGAGTGGGGTGAGTTAACGCAATTGGCTCATTGCAGATCATGTACAAGAGCTATCGCGGAGACTGGACAGCCAGGCCTATATACCAGAAATACAGGATCGAGGTTTTTTACACAGGAGCTTCTACAAATATGATTAAGAACTCAGATGGGAGACATGTAGGATATAGTTTGGTGCCGCTTTGTCAATATTTCAATATGGGTTCAGGGAACACTTGATCAATTCGACCGTGGCTGTCTGACGCATCTTGTATTCTGCGGTCTCTAGAACCGCTGTTAGCTGACGAACCATTGTTTTGAGGAATTCCTGGCAATTATTGTTGTCTCTGTGCCAGATGTAAGAACGACGTGCTTCTTCAAATCCTTGTTTGGTTGAACGAGACGGGGAAGCTTGATAATTGAAGTTACAACCAAGAAGTCAGATGTGTCACTCTCTCTCGCTGTACAGACAGCGAGTATGGGCTATATGGAGACCGCTTATTCCGACGGTCAGACAAGCTTGAAATCGATCTTCTGTATTCTCTCCACAATATATCTATTAAGAACAAGCTTCAGTTTTATACGGTCACTGCTCTGTTCACCGCCATAAGGCGTACATGCTAATGTAAATATTGGATCTTACGTTGACAGTTATCTCAATTTGAAAGTATTAAACTCGAGGGGAAGGGTAATTTAACATTCGCTTGTTGTTGAATTAAAATTAACTTTACATTAATGATTTGACTTCTTTAAATATTAGACTACAGCCACGTGTTGGGTAATACAAGGGGGATAACTCTGTTGGGAATTCCGTTTCAACGCAACGCCTTGTCAGAATTCGACACGGGTTTACAATCTGCTTTCTTGTGTGTGTGTGTGTGCATGAGTCCTCGCTCAAGACGGCAGTAACTAGTGTACCAAACATGTGGTTATCCTAATCATTAGATAAAAACAGTTCTTTGTACGCAGAAAAAAGGAGGTACAATACTTCCGAGGGTTATTTCCCAGAGCACACTCAACACACGCTTCTATGATAGAAATATATTGATTTGTCAGGGATGTGGCTTCTTGTTGGGCATTATATCTCAGTATGCTCGTCTGAGGAAGAAGAAGAAATGTTCGTCTTAATACGTGGTTGATGCGTGCATATGGTACACATGCTGAACCGACTCGGAGCAAGCTCGGTATTAACATTATCAACATAGTGCTACATTCTTCATGAATATGGCCTATAGGTTGCACAAATTAAACGCTGAGGGCGTATACAATATTCGTCACATCTGTACTCACAGAATGTTTTTATGTCAGCTCCACATGCAAAAAGTGTTTTCTTACAAAGTAGTATCCATTGTGTTAAGGGAGTTATTTCTTCGTTTGAACACATGCCACAAATATATATGTGAATATACGCGTTTTCCGTCAGTACGTTAGGTAATTGTGTCAAGGTTCATCCAAGTTCATTTTGTTTGCTTCTGATAAACGCATAACAAGATAACCTGTTAAGATGCCCCTTCGTTTAACGATCCGATACTGTTATTGGTGTAACATTCAACGATGGGCTTATAGCGTTATCGATGTGCCAATCAGGGCAAGGAAACAAGGAAAGCCTTTGATTAGTGGCCGAAATATGATGCCCTCCAATTCACTCCAATGAAATTGCCATAATTTCCTTTGATGTGTTTTTGGAGTATTGAAATACGTTTACTACCGAATTCACGTACGTCTCCGATATTTATGCTACATCAATGTCGAGTGCAGAGTCAAACACATTAATTTTTATGTATGACTGAGTCACGTCTCGAGACACAGATAAAAACACTGACTTCAAGATGCATCAATTATTTTTCAACAATCATCTAACGCTACAGCAGCTATGTCTTATAGAAAATGAAAACCTGAACATTAATATTGTTATCTTTGTGGCAGTTATGAATGAATTCCCCAAATTGACTAAGCTGCCATTTTCTGATTAAGTGATCTTGTTCTTCGGGCTGGTCATTTGTGCTGCCTTGTCAACCCACCTGCAGCTGCATGGATAACATGGCTAGGACTAAGAACAGGTTTTCAACATGCATTATTCTTAGCGGGATATGCATGTAGGATCCAGGGTACTTATTGCAGCATAATATTCATTAAACGCTGTACCCGGAAGCACCGAGCTCGTTAAACAAAACATGATTAAAACTGGCGCTCGGGGATGGTTGGTTATGGATTATGTATTCCCATTATTTCAAGACCTTAGATCCTGGCTGGTGGGGACATTTTAGCAGACATTATCGATGGCCTATTCCAAACGACAGGGGCGCCCCAGTCATCAATCACTCCTGCAGCAGGTGAACGTTTTCAAACACAAACCTTCACCATATGCCATGTACTTTTACTCATTAACTTGCACATTGTTGTGTTTATTCAGTTTTACGGATTAGATGGTCAATCAAATATTTTATGGTCATTGTGGAAGAACACAATGTTCTTGGAGAGATGTCTTTCAAAGCTCAAATGGAAATGAAGAAAAAACACAAAAATAGTTAATGTCATAATATTTAGAACTATTACAATGCGATGACAGTTTAAACCAACACTTAAGAGACATAAATGGTTGTTCATATACATAAACTTGAATTCTAATTCAACTTAGTATGTGGCACGACTTCTGATTGATCAATGCTATAAATTTCTGACCGTATAATCAGCATATACGGTCGCAATTTGAAAACCTATTCACCAAAACCTTTGAATGTACCCTTACACTATTGGGGTAACGCTGTTTTTTCGGGCATTGTCATTTGCAGAAGCCCTGGGTCAGTTTAACTCCCCTATTCCGCTAAAATGGATGGAATGTGTGTTAAAAAAGACAAAACAGTATCATAAATTTAATTGTTAGTTCAAACAACTTACTCGCAACGGGCTGTTGACCCAACAGTGTTAGATCATGAAACAAGAAGTATGACGTCATTAGGGAGCGTGACGTCACCTGCTGTGACGTCATTTGACAACAGAACAGATAGTGGCCAGTAGTTGAGGAATCACCGGGCTATTATCATTTGCAGCGGCCCGCTCATTTCTGATAACTATAGGGCGGTTTCATGATAATTCCGTCCATTTTAGCTATAACACTATAATTTATTCATCATTAGTCAGTGTGCACATAATAAACGTGTTGAAGTTTGAAAGGGAACTACTTTTAATGGCGATGGTGTAAGTTCAAGGAGTGATATGATTTACCTTTGACCTAGAAACACTTTGACCTGGTTTAAATAATGAATTTCTGTCACGAAAAAACAGCGTAAAACGAGTTGAATTAGAATTGGCTATATAACCACCGGTATACGTCCCCAATTCGTCAAACACAGTACAGTTATCCCCTAATTTTAAAGCACTCACTTATACAACATCCATTGGTAAACAACGCTGAGAACACTTGATCCACGAATTCTTCACAGTAAACAATAATGACGTTAAACGCGATTTCTGTTCTTTGCCATTTGGACTCTATTGCCATATAATATTAGAATTACTGCCAATAATGATTGAGGACATGAGCCGCACTGTGCATACAAATACTATAGTCAACTACAGAAAGATAAGAATAAGACAGTTTTAATATTTTGTCAGATGTAATTATATTATTGCTTCAATAATATTTAAATTATTCATGTTCACGTTCATGTATTGTGGGAAAATGTCCCAGTAGCCCTTGTGTTAATGATGTTTTGTTGACCTCTGTGAATAATTTAAATGTTGTAATTATTAATGCTTTCTAATTCAATAAATCTATGCCTAACCCGAAAATGTGAAGCATCTCGTTTTTGGATAACCCTACTGGATGACTGATCAAACAGGATATTGTATCGGTTACAGTCGTATGTGCCTTTTAAAGACAATGTTGCATCTGGTCAATGTGGCTAACTTGTCCAAGAAAGTGTTGTATCTGTTGAAGTATTGTGGACTTATTAAAGATGGTGTCGTATCTAAAGTATTTGCTTTCTGGGCATAGAAGGTATTGGATATGGTGGCAGGGGTACTGAATCATTAGTCATAGAAAGTGGTGCCTCTGAGGATGTACTGGCTCACAGATAAAAGAAACTCTTGCATCTACTGACATGTGCTGACTGGGAATAGAAAGCATTGCATTTGGTGATAGGACATTTCAATAACTATTTACAGAAAGTGATTCATCTGAGGCTGTATTGGCTCACAGATAAAAGAGACTCTTGCATCTATTGACATGTGCTCACTGGGAATAGAAAGCATTGCATATGGTGATAGGACATTTCAATAACTATTTACAGAAAGTGATTCATCTGAGGATGTACTGGCTCACAGATAAAAGAAACTCTTGCATCTACTGACATGTGCTGACTGGGAATAGAAAGCATTGCATATGGTGATAGGACATTTCAATAACTATTCACAGAAAGTGATTCGTCTGAGGATGTACTGGCTCACAGATAAAAGAAACTCTTGCATCTACTGACATGTGCTGACTGGGAATAGAAAGCATTGCATATGGTGATAGGACATTTCAATAACTATTCACAGAAAGTGATTCATCTGAGGATGTATTGGCTCACAGATAAAAGAGACTATTGCATCTACTGACATGTGCTATTGAAGTTCTTGCTGACATGGCAAAACAATGCTACATCTGCTGAGTATTGGCTTACTGGTTAAAGAAAGTGTTGTATCTGTGAAAATATCGGCTTACTGGTCAAAAATGTTTTGCTTCCACAAAGTACCCACTCAAAAGAAAGTGCTACATCCGTTGAACTATTTCTGACAGGCCAAAGGAAGTTCTATATCTGTTGGATTTTGGCTGACTGGTCAAAGGAAGTTCTACAT